ATCAGGCGCATAAAGTAGGGCTGAGCCGGGCACTGGCCCGGATACCCGGAAATGTCGAGTATTATTGCACACTCGGCATATATCCGTAACCAGGCCAAAATGGAACTGTTTTTTTTTTTTTTTGGGGGGGGGGGTTTACAAAAAATAAATAATAAAAGAGTTCTGCTCATTTTCTATAATTTGTTCCACCCCAATGGGGACAAATATAGAAACAGGATATCTTTTAAATTTTTTTTTTTTAAATAAAATTTTTCTGTACATTTTAACTGAATTAAATAATTCAATGCAATTCTCCAGGTGTGAGGCAGGGACGTGCTGGCCCACGACGACGCGACGAGCATTCGTCATGGGCCTTTTTGGGCAGTTATTACAAACTCCGGTGTGCGGGGGAGGGGGGGGGGCTCCGGGCCTTTCTTACTACACCGTTCGTCACGGGGTTCCATGTGCCAGCACGTCCCTGGTATGAGGGTATGGTGAGCTCATTAGCGCGCTAAATAACATTCCAGACAACTGCTGTGCTGGCCCACGACGACGCGACGAGCATTCGTCATGGGCCTTTTTGGGCAGTTATTACAAACTCCGGTGTGCGGGGGAGGGGGGGGGGCTCCGGGCCTTTCTTACTACACCGTTCGTCACGGGTTTCCATGTGCCAGCACGTCCCTGGTATGAGGGTATGGTGAGCTCATTAGCGCGCTAAATAACATTCCAGACAACTGCACTAAATGAGATGCTTAAAATAATATTGCGGTTGGTGCGTACTATTTTCTCTTGTTTTACTTTTACGGAAATATTTAATATCTTAAAATTAAATGTGTTATAAATCTGCGTTGCAAAGGGTGGGGGGGGGTGGGGGTGGGGCGGTGGGCCATTAGTATCTATCTATATATATATAATTCGCCAGCAAAGGTCAAACACCACCATATATAATAGATACGCCAGAGTGTGGTTAAATAATGAGTTCACTAGCGCGCAAAATATAATTCCCGATAACTACGCTTAATTTTATATATATATTTAATAAGGAAATTGCGTTTGGTGCGTAATATTTTCTTTTCGGAAATGAAATCGTCTCAATTTAAGTATGGTGTAAAAAATATTCGGTTCAAAAGTGGTTCGGACATGAGCATATTAATAGAGTTCACGAGCAATTCTGCGACGTATGCTACGTCGCGGGTCAACTGGTATAGTATAAAAATATTAGTTCAGGACGTGAACAAAGTATGCGTTGGTGTACCTGTGGGGTGGAAGGGGGGATAGCACTACTTGTCTTCTTACACAGTTGGTTTAGTTGAATGCATGTCTGTCAAGTGACTGTTGAATGCATGTCTGTCAAGTGACTGTTGAATGCATGTCTGTCAAGTGACTGTTGAACCCTGGGGAGTTGACGCCATGTCGCCCCCATGGGGTTGACAGCTGCAACAAGGAACTTTTAGGAGAAAACTGACGAGCCATTTATGCCAAGCCAAATGTACGTTAAATGAAACTAAATGTCAGCTAAATGAAACTAAATGAGAGCTAAATGAAACTAAATGAGAGCTAAATGAAACTAAATGTCAGCTAAATGAAACTAAATGAGAGCTAAATGAAACTAAATGTCAGCTAAATGAAACTAAATGTACGTTAAATGAAACTAAATGTCAGCTAAATGAAACTAAATGAGAGTTAAATGAAACTAAATGAGAGCTAAATGAAACTAAATGTCAGCTAAATGAAACTAAATGTACGTTAAATGAAACTAAATGTCAGCTAAATGAAACTAAATGAGAGCTAAATGAAACTAAATGTCAGCTAAATGAAACTAAATGTACGTTAAATGAAACTAAATGTCAGCTAAATGAAACTAAATGAGAGCTAAATGAAACTAAATGTAAGCTAAATGAAACTAAATGTACGTTAAATGAAACTAAATGTCAGCTAAATGAAACTAAATGAGAGCTTAATGAAACTAAATGTCAGCTAAATGAAACTAAATGAGAGCTAAATGAAACTAAATGTCAGCTAAATGAAACTAAATGTAAGCTAAATGAAACTAAATGAGAGCGAAATGAAACTGAATGTCAGCTAAATGAAACTAAATGTCAGCTAAATGAAACTAAATGTCAGCTAAATGAAACTAAATGTCAGCTAAATGAAACTAAATGTCAGCTAAATGAAACTAAATGAGAGCTAAATGAAACTAAATGTCAGCTAAATGAAACTAAATGTACGTTAAATGAAACTAAATGTCAGCTAAATGAAACTAAATGAGAGCTAAATGAAACTAAATGAGAGCTAAATGAAACTAAATGAGAGCTAAATGAAACTAAATGTAAGCTGAATGAAACTAAATGTCAGCTAAATGAAACTAAATGTACGTTAAATGAAACTAAATGTCAGCTAAATGAAACTAAATGTCAGCTAAATGAAACTAAATGAGAGCTAAATGAAACTAAATGAGAGCTAAATCAAACTAAATGTCAGCTAAATGAAACTAAATGTAAGCTAAATGAAACTAAATGTAAGCTAAATGAAACTTAGACTGAGTGAAACAACAGACCTCCGAAAAAAATAATTCACTTGCTGCGAATAATGTTGTGGCATCATTTGCCTTAGCAAGATGCAAATCTTGGGTTAAGACCTTGGCACTTTCTATTTACAATAATATTTCCTCGTGCTGACTGACTGATGATACTGAGTGACCAACGTTTGTGTGCTGACTGACTGATGATACCGAGTGGCCAACGTTGGTGTGCTGACTGACTGATGATACCGAGTGGCCAACGTTGGTGTGCTGACTGACTGATGATACCGAGTGGTCAACGTTGGTGTGCTGACTGATGATACCGAGTGGCCAACGTTGGTGTGCTGACTGACTGATGATACCGAGTGGTCAACGTTGGTGTGCTGACTGACTGATTATACCGAGTGGCCAACGTTGGTGTGCTGACTGATGATACCGAGTGGCCAACGTTTGTGTGCTGTCTGACTGCTGACTGATTATACCGAGTGGCCAACGTTTGTGTGCTGACTGACTGATTATACCGAGTGGCCAACGTTGGTGTGCTGACTGACTGATTATACCGAGTGGCCAACGTTGGTGTGCTGACTGACTGATGATACCGAGTGGTCAACGTTGGTGTGCTGACTGATGATACCGAGTGGCCAACGTTTGTGTGCTGACTGACTGATTATACCGAGTGGCCAACGTTGGTGTGCTGACTGACTGATGATACCGAGTGGCCAACGTTTGTGTTGGTGTGTGGGGGATTATTTCTAAATTATCTCTGAGAATTCGATGATAGTAATGTACTGGAACACGCATTTAATAAGTGAAGCAATTAGCTTAACTGAAATAAGGCTAGGGTGGTATTGGTATCGCCATGATGATGACATAAATATTTATTTTAAATAATATGCGAACGTTGGCATCAGAAAAATGAAAACTGTTACTAACCAGCGACCAGCAACACTAACGCATATATACAAGCTCCGCTTCATGTTTGATTTGTGGTATTGTTTATAGGTTAGGGACGTGGTTCCGATCCTGTGGGTCACGACCCCTCGGGGTTAAGTGTAAAATGTGCATTTTTGAAATTTGTATTTCTTATTTTAAAATTCAAATATCATATACTGTGTTGGGCCTAGTTTCTTATTGCTGCTCCACCCTGACCACACTACAGCTACATAAAATAATGTTTAAAAAATATGATTCATTCGGTAGATGTCAGCAGCTAATTTATTAAATATTTTTTTCATTAAAAAAATAAAAATGTACAATATATATGATAAAAATTTAAATGTTTTATATTTGCTTGCTATTTTCTTTGTTTAATTTTTTGGGACCTTAATTAACTTAGAGAAGTCTTCACGCAGATAAATCAAGAGGACCAAGTTTGTGATGTAGGAGTAGGGGGAAAAAAAAAGGAATTTTTCTAATGTCTGTAAAGTTCCTAATTTATGTATAAATAAAGATGAAAAAAATGGAACATTCTATTCTAGACACGACTACACTGTTAATAAAGACACTTTTAACACACTGCGTTGAAAAGGGTGGCATGATATCCGTTTAACATTCCACTTACACTGACGATTCGACATTTCACCATATATTATTAATTCAAAAGTAAGTTCAAAAGTAAGTTCAAAAGTAAGTTCAAAAGTAAGTTCAAAAGTAAGTTCAAAAGTAAGTTCAAAAGTAAGTTCAAAAGTCCACCCTTTTAGAATAAGTTGTACACTAAAATCCCTCTGCGCAGTGTTTCGTGAACAAGGGACATAAGCATTGGAACGTCACACGCCTATCCAAAAACAAAGGAAATGTGCAATTCATACACATACAAATATCCATCGCAGACATGAAGTTAAAATAACGTTGGTAGCAACATACAGAGATTTACACATTGCGTCTCTTGTTTACATTACGTTCAAAGGTAAATAGCCCTGTAGGTAAAATGACATTAGATTATCAAAGATTATGATTACTCTCTTGTGGTAGGAAATAAATTAAGGTAAAAAAAATGAATTTTTAAAACAAATAATAAAAAGCTGTCTCCCATTACATTCCACAGAAATGAAGGACATTCGATCCGTCACTGCGATGTCGGGCCACGACAACACCGTTTGGAGCAATGAGGAACCTAGTATAGACTTGAGTGCATCACCGAGCAGGCAAGACATCAGCAGCGCAATGCTTCAGCTCAGAAGTCTTGAGGGCTCCACGGGTCTCAGCATGATGGACTGGACGGAAAGGTTGATAGAGCTGACATCTGTCTCAGATGAACACACGCACCAACGGATCGCTGGCCAGCCGTGTCCGGTGAACACAAACAACGTGTTTCCAACCCTTGAACATTCGAGACACCACTTAAGCGATGACTCGACGTTCAGAACGACTCCTCATGCGTTGCAGCCAGGCAGACACATGGCGCACCCATCACGCGCCCAAATATCAAGTAGACAATTTGATAAGAAGATCTACGAAAACAATAGACGGCAAGGCGCCTATATTTCCTCGCCATTACCGTCATCGTCAACGGAAGGCAGTTCTTACATGAGCCTCTTCACTGGAGACCATGGTGTATCACAACTAGATCGGTCGTCTGCTCTGCCTTCATGCCAGTACTCGGGTAAGCAACATTTAAGTTCTCGAGGAACGATTCAAAAACCGCTGTCAGGGCCGCCCACGTCAGACTTTAGTTCACACGACATGTCGGTCGCAAACTACACATCACACGACTCAATCACTAGCTACACATCACACGATTCATCCACAAACTACACACCGCGCAACTCAATCCCACACTACAGCATGCAAGGCTCAAACAAAAACAATGCATCGCATGCCTTTACTCAGGAAACCCTCGAACCGTTTGGAAGCCAAACAGTCAGCAGCGACTTAAACCTATTTCATACTCCACTGAGCTTCGACTTGATCATGCCCAATAAAAACTTTAACTTGGGCACATTGGACGTTTTAGATTCATTGTCGTCTGCCGAGCGACCCGAAACGACGAACGTGCTGCAAGGAACACCCGTGAGTTCATTCAGTGTGCCAGAGCCGTTAAGATGCTCTCAGAATGTTTGTAGTTTTAGCGATGATTTCATCGACTTCGCGACAGTCGAGGTGGAAACAACGGTAAAGAGTTTCGATTTCCATCAGCAGACGATCGCGAATGCCCCAGTCTCGAGCACAAACACTGGGACCGTCACCACCCACCAGACGGACGACGCCTTCTTCAACGCTCCCAGCACCGATTCCTTCCGGTTCAAACTGCCGAGCGTTAGTGCTTCCGGTCCACCAGCGTCCCTAGCGACGACCGGCGAACAGTTTATTTTAAATCCTTCTCTTGCGCGGACGATTAGCTCTGGAATCAGCATGCCTGACGATATCGAGGATCATCTTGTGGCGTCCAGTTCGGACTCTCAAAGTCCGTGGGAGCCGTTCTCGACGTCCTTGCATCCATGGGACACGGGGGTTCTGTCGCTGACCGATGAGGACCTGCCTGTAGAAGAGAACAGATCACAGAGTCAAACGGCGCCATCCTTAGATCTGGAAACACCGACAGACATCCCGAGAGACGCGCTACGGGAAAACATGGACGCGTCAGTGAAATTAACTCCCATCGGTGGCCCGTGCCAACCTTCACCGGAAAGACTGGCTTCACAAGGGACGGCTCGGTTCTTGACAGCGGCGGCTGTCGGTGTAAATGAAGCGATCTCCGTGCAGCCCTGCCCGAGCCAGCACACGCCTACGTCTTGTGACGTCTCGACGAGGTCACCTTTGACCCAGTTTCAGGCGACACAACAATCCACGTGTATAACATCATCTGTAGCGTACTCGGTGCACGTTTCAAGTGTAATCAATTATGTGAACTTTCAGACCAAGCAGACGCATCCTGCTGTAACCTTGACCTCCACTTCACAGTTATCAGCTGCCTCAAATTATGGTAGACAGTGTGACTTGACCGCTCCAGGATCTTCATCTGGTACGTCAACGTCCCGCTATGAACCACAACTCTGCACGCTCACTGCCCCAAGACGACCAAGACACCAGCTTCTAGACAAGCGTTGCCTGTCAAGCAAAAACCCTGCTGTCAAAATCCCTCGACCCCCGACCTACCCGAAACCAAATCTCTCGGACTTATCTTCCGACGCACTGCTCAGCCCGGGCGATGTCAACAAGGCGTTTTTAAGCGGCGCTGAAAACCAAATTTATGGAAAACCCCAAGCTCCAATCGCTGGAATGTTCTCGGAGATAAGTGACGTCAGCTTGCAGGACTCTGACGCAAGCAGCAGCGTATCGACGTCATTCACGGAAGGAGAAGGTTCGGGGGAGCGAGCAGCCGCCCAGAACCTGAAGGAAAAACTGAGATTTCGCCTGAAGGGAAAAGGTTTATCCACAGAGGGTCTCAAGCCTACAGAGGAAGGCAGGGCGCTCGATACAGGGTCAGCTTCTGTGCCGGAGGCCTGTCACGTGACAAGCTTGACAAGAAGGAAACGTTACAGTGACGTTGACACAGACTCTTCCAGTACCAGCAGAGCAAAGAGCTCGCGTCGTAGTTCATCGTCCACTGTAAGTATAGGACATGATCTGCTGTACACCTTTTCATATAAAGCGTGGTGCAACTGCGTCATGGTACAAGTATTCATATAATGGGTGGTACAGTATTCATAGAATCGGGGGTACAACTTGTACAAGTATTAATTTGAATAGTAATTTTTTTTTTTTTAATGACAAAATCAGCACAAATTTCGATAAAGTCTGTGGTAGAACTAGGAAGCATTTTGATGAAATGAGTTATTCAACTAGCAAAAAGCTGATACTTAAAAAAACAAAAAAACCAGTACTTCGCATGTCCTCAATAGATATCGGTCCATTAAAGAATCTATTTGATATTGTAAACCTATAAAAACGATCAGAAAATCATGATACTTTCTTTTCAGTTGTCTGGGTCAAGTGAGGAAGACCATGACGTCACGCAGGACTCTGAAAACCCCGTGAGTGATGAGAAGAAAAGCAACAAAAGGAGCGAGAGAAAGAGGGGCGCGTCAGACGGTGGTGGTGACGAGGAAGAGGAAGAAGACGAGGAGACGAGACTTGCCAAGAGAGAGAAGAACAGACTCGCCGCCCAGAAGTGTCGTCACATGAAGAGGGATAAAATGTTACTGCTCAGTAAGGTGAGAACAACACAACGTGAACTTTGACCCTTGATGTTATAATTGGGATGACCTTTGTGACGAGTTCCACGTGATACAGCGAATGTTGATGTGCATTCGATACATTAACATTCAGAGAAAGAAACCACAAGCAATAAAACAAACATATAACAGCTTCGTCATGCCTATGTGCCACACACCCCTTTGATACAATACACCATACAAAACCATCGTGCCAATGCACCACAAAACACCGTCGTACCAATGCACCAAACAACACCATCATGCCAATGCACCACAAAAACACCGTCGTACCAATGCACCAAACAACACCATCATGCCAACGCACCACAAAAACACGATCGTACCAATACATATATCAACACAATCATACCAATACACCAAACAACACCATGGTACCAAATGACCAAACTACTAAAGACATGTTTGAATGGAATCTTAAGAAAGTTTTCCAGATGGTCAGCCGGGAACTTTTTTATGTTTTAAATTGGTTTTTCTTCTCTTTCTCAGCAAGTGTATCGCCTGGAGGAGAGGCAGAGTAGAATCAAATCAGAGGTGGAGAGACTGAACGAGGAGAGGGAACAACTCGAGGAGATGTTGAGGGTTCATGCGTTCGTCTGCAAGAGGGAACAAATGTCGCCAGGAGAACAAAGTAAACATCAACATTAGAACCCCTGCACCAGATGATCGTTTGTGTTAGAAATGTTTGTACAGCATGAAACTATGCCCAGTTTGTAGGTGTGGTTTAGGGTTCTGCATTTGTAAACTATCAGATGCATCAGAAAAATTCAATTGTTATGTTAGGAACACGTACTGATGTAACTGTTACAACACGATGATCCAATGGTAACATTCATTGAGCCAGTGTTAATTACATGCCCCGATCCAATGGTTACATTCCCTGATCCAAAGGTTAGATCCCCTAATCCAAGGGTTAGATCCCCTAATCCAAGGGTTAGATCCCCTAATCCAAGGGTTAGATCCCCTGAATTCCAAGGGTTACATCCCCTAATCCAAGGGTTAGATCCCTAATCCAAAGGTTAGATCCCCTAATCCAAGGGTTAGATCCCTTAATCCAAGGGTTACATCCCTTAATCCATAGGTTACATCCGTTAATCCAAAGGTTAGATCCCCTAATCCAAGGGTTACATCCCTTAATCCAAAGGTTACATCCCCTAATCCAAAGGTTAGATCCCCTAATCAAAGGGTTACATCCCTTGATCCAAAGGTTCCATCTCCTGTATCAAACGGTCACATTTTCTGAGTCGGTTACTGCGCAGTCTGATCCAACCGTGCTACACCTCGAAGTGCCGGATGTTGAGATCACAGAAGAGGTTATATTTCGATGACAATGTTTAATGAGGTTGAATTGTTTCATTAGTCACCCACCCTACAGCTCTTCTTGTAAGTCTTAAACTATGCTTTCTAAAACGAAAGAAACACTTCACTTCATCACAACACTAAAATACTTTCATCATTTTAAAATCGTAATATCACGCTTCTCGGCCTTTAGGCTGAGATCAACCAATAGTATCTGATCTTATGCAAGCGGGTTACAAACCCCGAGGGGGGGGGGCGTGATATCTCGCGTTGTGTGGCCAAAGCCAGGGGGGGGTGGAATCGGACGAACAACTGAGAGAGCAACATGGGTAAGAGACCCGCAAGGGCAGACTTTGAAGATGGACTACCCCAGTTTGCAGTACTTCTGGGGGAACAAGGGCAGACTTTGAAGATGGACTACCCCAGTTTGCAGTACTTCTGGGGGAACAAGGGCAGACTTTGAAGATGGACTACCCCAGTTTGCAGTACTTCTGGGGGAACAAGGGCAGACTTTGAAGATGGACTACCCCAGTTTGCAGTACTTCTGGGGGAACGATTAAAAAAAAAACACGGTTTTTAATTTGACCAATCTCACCCACATTATAATCTTTGATGTTCTTTAGATATGTCACCCATGTGTCAATTCTTCTACGGCAGAATGTTTAAGTGCAATATTACATATTGCCTAACTGTATACACAATGAGACGACAAGAAATCCAGTGAAAGAACTACTTCTTATTTATATAAAAGAATAAGTTCTAATAAATGGTTCTCATTTTTACCATTTTATTTTTTTTTTGGTGATACGTTGATATAATGTTAACATTAATGTTGTTTTAATAATGTGTTTTCTCCCTCCCGGTCGGACAAACAGGTGAACTGTTGTTTGATTTGATACGTTTACTTTCCTCGTTATTGTTTTTAAAACAGATTGTTTAATGAATAAAGCGTGGAATAAACTAAATTTGAAATTTGTTTCATTATTTCATGATACAATAATTTCATTATCTCATTATTTCATAATACAATAATTCCATTATGTCATTATTTCACAATACCATCATTTCATTATCTCATTATTTCATCACACAATCATATTTCATTATATAATTATTTCATAATGCAATCATTTCATTATCTCATATCTCATAATACATTCATTTCATTATCTCATTATTTCATAAGAAAATCATTTCGTTATCTCATTATTTCATGATAAAATTATTTCATTATCTCATCATTGATAATACAATCCTTTAATTATCTCATTATTTCATAATACAATCATTTCATTATCTCCTTTTTTCATTATACAATCATTTCATTATCTCCTTTTTTCATTATACAATCATTTCATTATCTCCTTTTTTCATTATACAATCATTTAATTATTTCCTTATTTAATAATACAATCATTTCATTAT